GAAAATGAGAAAGAAATCAGAAATTAAACTACCAAATTAATTTATAATATATATATATATACATATTATACCTTACCTTACCATCAATATTCATTAGTTCGGAATGTATGCAAGGACATTTGAAATTCGATTCCATTAACTTTATGTCTTTCGTATTCAAGAAGAGATATTCGAAAGGAGTATGAAAAATTAAAAAAATAATATAATAATCTAAAATGGTACAAAGCTTTAAGACAATTTTATTTTTAAAACATTCACAACTTCTTGTAACATTAAGCGGGAAAAATATCTTTCAAATGAAAATGAGTTAGAGAACCTCGAGTTAGTGCATATACATAAAAAGGCATAAAATTGAAAGAGGAATAAATACATATGAGTTTTACATTTTTATACACTCCTTAGAAAATCCATGATAGTTTTGTGCATGTACTCTACATCAACATAATAGAAAAGGAAATTAGCCAAATATTTATGCTACAACATAATAAAAAGGAAATTATCTAAATGTTACCTTCACACTCTTAATCAACTCCATATTTTCTCTCTAAAATCATTAAATAAGAACATAACATAACCTTTTTTTTTTTGGTATTTAGACAAAGGCTATATGTCTCGAGTCAAAAACCAATACTTTTCTCAAGGATTAGAATTAGATATATTTTAAGCGACATACAAGTTATATTCGAGGGTAAAAGTAAAGACTTTTGTAAAGCCTAACCTGCAACATATTTTAAGATTGGGCCCATGAGCTTGATATTATTTAGCGATATGAACAACCAAAAGGTGACATTGCTTTGAACAACCAAACATGTTAGATGAGCATTGCTTTGAACACGGAGTACATACACCAGAGGAAAACAGAGTAAAGAAACCAGATAGTGACCAGTAAAAAAAGAAGGATATTACCTTTTAAGGATACAAATGTAAGCATGAGAAGCGCTAAGAACTCGGGAATAAGAAAACCACCAAACCCAATCAGGAACTCAAAATTTATTCATGAGTAGACCCAGATGAAACATAGAAGCAACATGTTGAAAGGACCTGCAACGGAAATATTACACATTTTTACCAGTTCCTTCTTCATGAAGTTCGGATTAAGATGTCTTAACGATAATCTGAATGAGTCAATCTTCAACTCTATCCAATGATGCCTGAAGTCTCCCCGAGTTCATGTTGAATAATGACTGTTCATCAGTACCGAGTCTTCTGTTGCATTTGACACCATCACCATAAGCCACACAAAGTAGGAAAATCATTATATCGAACATTACGAATTTGCGGGCATTAGGTCAAATTTTTGAAGCAAGGAGAAATGTTCGGGGTCTTGCCCGGTAATCTTGGAGAGTATATAATCAGCTCTCCATCCGAACTGAAAATCAACACCCGGGCAAAGACCAAAAGTCGTCTTGGCAAATTAATGAGAAAAGTAATTGTCAATGAATGCCACCGTTTTTTTTTTTTTTTGCTATTGAATAGTTTCATATCAATTTAAATTCATTTACTCCACTAATAATTATGGTTAGTAGTGGACTAATAAATACTTTTTTTTTAAAGAAATACTCTTATCACTAACAGAGGACTATTTTGTTTTTGAATAGAGTAATGAATATCCGTCAGCATATTTTTTGGAATATTTTTTTTTTGTTAAATTGTAATAATCTATTGTCGCTTATAAGCCAATCAAAAATTTTCAATATATAAGATTAACATCTTATTTACCATTTATACCATAACATAAAATATTGACAGCATTTTTTGGTATAACTTTTTTTAATTATAATAATCTATAGATTTTTATAAGTTTAAATATAATTTCCAATATATAAGATTAATATCTCATTAACCATTCATACATTTTCAACATATACATAAAATATTGATTAATATTATTATTAATCATTAATATATGCTGGTTTTTAAATACACCAAAAAAATTAAAAAATGTCACATGGATGATGATGTGGATTCTATGTGTCCTCACCATATGCCTTTAAACTTCTTTATTAATATATATAAATTTTTAATTAAAATCAGTTATTTCGGATAACCGAAACCGATCCGTTATTTACCCGAACCGAACCGATCTGATCGGTTTTGGAATAATGGTAACCGATCGGTTATTCCTGCAACATCCGAACTGATCCGAAAACCCACCAGAATCGCCGAGAGAAAGAGCAATTTCGGGAGCGAAAAAAATGTGTAAAATAAGAGAAATTCAGCAAAACCCACCAGAATCGAGTAAAAATTCAGAATCAAGAGGGAATGTAAGGGTCATATTCGTTTTCGTCGAGTGTGGAAGCTTCAAGTCCGACGGTGTATCTGGATCGGTTGAAAAAGTAGATCCGACAAAGAGAATGATAGATGAAGTTATTTTAGGCTTAAAGGAAAAAAAAAAAATTCTCCCAAATTTCTCCTTCCTTCACCCTCTTCTCGTGATGCAGTGATTCATTCGTCCTTCATTTTTAGCAGCTTCGAAATCTTTCAATTTTCACCGATATCTCCCACGTCCGACCTCTTTCGTCCTAGCAATAAGAACTCTCTTGTAAACCTCCATTCGTCTTCAATCTTTTACTGTTTTCCAGTTTGAAGAACACCAAGAAAACCCAGGAAGAACGAAGAACACTCGAAGGAGAAAAAGGAGAGTTTTGTGTAATAGAAATTTTCTATTCTCTTCAATTAACTCGACTTTACATCCTCTCTCTTATATACATCAATGAATACACATATTCTGTATTATAGACCTATGAGCGAAAATCAGGAAAAAGTAATCCTAGTATAGCTGTACAAAACGGTACGCACCAACACAACCAAACCCTTTACATGAACAACCTGATCCAAATCAGAAATTGTCGACAGTGATATACCCATTTAATACAATCTTTAGTGAAATCTCCCATGTAATCTTTAGTGAAACCTCCATTCGTCTTCAACCTTCCTGTCATAAAGGTGACCTGCATGTTTCCATGACATGTAAGATGGCATGTATATAGATCGGCTTGCAAATTAGGTAGCCTTCAGGACTCGTAGAGATACGCATGTCACCTTACATGATCTGGGAATATGCATGTCTCTTCCATGAACTTTCCGTCGATCATGATATGATAATTGATTGCAGGTTTAATAGATGACTACAATCCTCGTCATTTATTTTCCGATCGATCAAGAACTATCGCATTATCATATTCATATCAATCGAGATTGCGAGTTCAAGGCGACCATGCATTTCACATATATGATAATGAATACAAGCTATTTTTCTATTTTGTAACTATGGAAAATTCTAAATTTATAAAAAAAAATAATCTAAAACTGCTTTTATTTTTGAAACAGAGAATAGAAATTTGATATCAGAGAAATGAATAGGTTATTATGATTTAATGTTTTCTTTTGCGTCAAGGCCCTCTATTATTGAGCTGGAGAATTCTCTACCTACTCTCCACCAACCTTCCAACAGATATCTAGTTTTGTAAAAAAGACAAACAAACAAAAAGGTTAAATTTCATCTTTAATGCGTACTATAAAAGATAATTGCATTAAAAGGATACACTAAATTATAATAATATATCATACCATTTTTCTAAAATTAAAAGTTATTGTGGTTCGTATTACGTAATAAGATGACCAACTTTTTTTTTATATTGAGATAGAATATCAATAATGAGTGAAATGAAATCAACTTGGTACTAGTAGAATTGATTTTCTTAGACGCAGATGAAATCACTCATAATTTTTTTTCCATATATATGTATAATTTATATAAGTATTCGGTAAATATTATTTTATTTTTTTTCTGTTTACGGTACTTGAATATTTACCAAATATGATTGAAGAGATTTAGCATCTATATACTTTATAAACAAACAAATTTTTTTCCATTATTTGTTTTAATATTTACATACATACTATTACTCATATATATAATGAATTTTCAGAGATTTTAGATTTAAAAAGGAAACGGACCAAATCAGAAGGAAGCACCAATTTACTCATTTCTACCCTCCGCAAGTATGATATATTCTTACTCGCTATATAAACCGTCCACATTGATGCGTTTTCTCTAACAATTCAAGGAGAAAAAAAAAGAGAGATAAACAAAGGAGGGATTAACCTTATTTAAATAATTAAATAACTAGGATTTTTCAAGATTAAACATTTAAAATTTAGAATGATCAAATCAATATTTCATGCAACCAAATTGGTTTTATAAGATATATGACAAAATAAAATTTTTAAATGTATTTATCTAAAAAATTAAATTTAAAAATCCATTGAATTGGTATGAGATTTTGTAGAATATTTCTTTCTATAAAAGCAGAAAGTATTGAATAAGAATAAATGTGGTGAAAATTTATATTATACTTTATAAGTTATGTTTATTTTTGTTTTTATATTGCTATTAAGAAGATAAAAACATAATCTAACTGTGTTAATTAATATCATAGCATCTAATAAGAATAATAGTTTTTTTTAGTTTACTATTAAAAAATAATTTGTACTTCAAAATATCAAAAAAACTAAAGCGAGTATATATATATATATATATATATATCTAATAAGAATTAAAATAATAATTTTTTACTGAATTGTGTGTGTGTGAAATGCAATTTAGGTCTTTACTTTTTCTCCGTTTCATAAATTTTTATAAATTAAGAAAGAATCCCCAATATGAATAAAAAATATATTTGAAAATTAATAAACAAAATATTCAGATTTCCAAAATCTACACTTCAGTGAGAAAGAAAAGAACAAAAATAAGAGATCTGGGAACAGTTCCTTTTATATCTTCCCTGTCTGAAAAATACACAACCCTATTAATTCTCTCTCACTCTGTTTCTTTGGTTTATTTGTGAATTTTCGCCTAATTATTGGTGAGTTTTGTTTCTCTCTCTCTCCCTTTTTTTTTTATTTTTTTTAACATTTCTCGTTTTTTCTGTTTGATTTTTCTATTTTTGGCGTAAAACATTGAATTTTCTGGAAAATTGAGAGAAACCTCTGTAATTTTTTTCTCACTGATTTTTTACGAATTTTTTTTTCCAAAAACTTTCTGGGCAAATCGGCTTTCTGGTTTTGAAAGATCTGAACTTTTCCGGACACAATTTCACGATGAATTTCATCTGCAACGTTGCTTCAAAACTGGAGCTAATTAGGGTTCCGAGGAATCTTCGTCTTGTCATCGCAAACTTCTTTACGGAGATGAACAGATCTCTGCAAGACACCGTTTTCTCTGCATCCGTACTTCATGCGTCAACATAGAAAGAATTCGAAAAAAAATGCCTTCCCTTGATCTCGAATTATGGGTTAGGGTCTTCGGGGTTTTGTTTCTAACATTTTCCCTCGTTTTCCTTTTCCTGTTTGGGCAGTGAGAAAATGTCGGGATCTGAGACTGGAATGATCTCGAGCAGAGAACCAGTGCCCTTCACAATGGATCTCCAGAACAATCCGGCGCCGGCACAGCCAGTGATACAGAACATGCGCCTGAACTTCATCCCCGACGGAGTCTCCGGCTACAAGCCGGCGTCACCTCCGCAGTACCAACCGAACTCCTCCACCGGCGCCGGAGAAGATATGCCGTCGGCGAATCACGGGTTTAACATGAACATGGTCGGGAGCGAGCCTGTGAAGAGGAAGAGAGGGAGACCCAGAAAATACGGACCAGACAGTGGCATGTCACTGGCTCTGGTTCCGGGAGCTGTCTCATGCCCGAGCGGCAGATCTGCCGGAGATGGCGGTTTACCTTCTCCGCCGGCGGCTTCCTCCGGCGGAGCCACCACTCCTATGTTCAAGAAAGCGAGAGGAAGGCCTCCTGGCTCTGGCAAAAAACACCAACTCCAAGCTTTGGGTATATATATATATATGAATATGCTTACATTACATGTCTGAATGAAGACTATATATAGGAGATTCGGGTTTGGACATATAGGTGTATGTATGTGTTTTGACGTGGATGCTGATATTATCGTTATCGGATTTTTCCTCTCACGTGCCCGAATTAGAATGTTTCTGCGTCGTGGATCTTCCTTGTCGGCTGGAACTAGAATATTGTCTCTGGTTTGTGCTGATGTTATAAAGTTCTTGAATTGTCTTGAGGTATTTGATTCTGTCGATGTGATATTACCGGTCTGCCCTTGAAGCTCCGTCCTTTTGTCTGATTTCAAGTGTCTTTTGCCTTTGCTAAATGATGGGATGGAACTTGTACAGATTTCTTGTGTTCATCTTCGGATTGAATTTGTTTAAGCATCTTTCTGATGGGTTTGTGTTTTTCGCAGGTTCGACCGGGCTCGGGTTTACCCCCCATGTAATTAACGTCAAGGCTGGCGAGGTTTCGATCCGATTTATTTCTTTTTCGTTTTTGGCAATCATGTTCTTCGGCTTTCTGAGAAAACATGACTGTTTCTGATAGTAATTGAATACCTAAAAGTGGAATATTCTATTGTTCTGTCACATAGTCCCATGGAGCAATTCCATTTTTTTTTTCGTGATTTCGTTGCTGTTATTCGGCAGGACGTATCGTCGAAGATAATGGCGTTTTCTCAGCACGGCCCTCGCGCGGTCTGTGTCTTGTCCGCGAATGGATCCATCTCCAATGTGACTCTGCGGCAGCCAGCCACATCCGGTGGAACTGTTACTTACGAGGTCTCCGGGTTAAAATCTCTTTTTTACTTTCTCTCTTTCGACCATCCCTTTAATCCGAATTCAGGGTTTTAGTTTTCGGTTCATACCGTTATGTTTTGATGAGGTTGGCTCTTCTGCATCCTTAAAGATGGAATCTAGTTGCCGATTCAGATATGTTTGTTAAACTGGAAGCAGGGGAGGTTCGAGATTCTGTCGCTGTCGGGATCGTTTCTTCTGATGGAGAACGGCGGTCATAGGAGCCGGACAGGAGGGCTAAGTGTGTCGTTGTCGGGTCCTGATGGTCGTGTCTTAGGTGGATGTGTGGCTGGCCTTCTTGTTGCTGCTTCTCCTGTTCAGGTAAAACCCACTTTTTTGTCATCCTATTTGTTTAACAAGATATTTACGAACTTTATTGTTAATAACTGAGATTGTGCAGGTGGTTGTAGGGAGTTTCATATCAGATGGGCGTAAAGAACCCAAACGAGTCAGCCAGTCCACAGCTCTAGCCATGATGGGACCAAGCAGCCCACAATCCCGAGGCACGATGAGCGGATCCTCGGGCGGTGAACCCGGAAGACCTCCTCTTAACCACACCGCAGGAGCATGCAACATCTCCGGTGTTCCCAACATGGCATGGAAGTAGCAATCAACGTCTCACTAATGATAATTATGATCATGACGATAATGACTGTTTTAGGGGTTAGGGTTTTGACCTAATTAGGGTTTTTACCTTTCTAAATAACTCCCTTGTTCAGAATATGACTCTTGTTCTTTTCTTCTTGGGTTCGTGAGTACAAGACCAAAGTGGTTTTCATATTAGTCTCTGGCTCTCTTCAACAAGAATCGCATTGCGAACATCCCGATAGCGAACGTTTGCAAGACCCATCCTAGTGCGTTGTCCCGATCAACTCGTTTCGCAACAGACCACGCGTACATCGCCTCCATGGCATGTAGGGCCCATGAGAAAATAGATGCGGCCTTTAACATTGGAATTGTCCGGAACAAAAAGAGGCCGAGGGTTCGCAGGAAAGGTACAGGTCCTAGCTATGTCGGGTAACCAGGCTGTAGCCGAGAGAGCCACCATTCCCAGCATGACAATAAACCAAGTGAATATGGTTGGGCCGTCAAGAGATCTGCGTTTCCGCTCCTTCCAGTACACGATGGTTGCGGCCATACCTTCTCTCGGGCTGATCATTGGTACATACCCGAGCTCTTCCCTGGCTTTGAGATACGAGAAATAATGGGTAACGCCGACCTGCACCAGAAAGATTTGTACAGATGTTTTTTGTTAATGTCAACGGAAAGTGATAGCGATCGCAGTGAAAAGGGGCAGTAACCAGTTTTAGCAAGATTCTGAAACTGTACCTTGTAGACTTCAGCAGG